CGGCGTAGATGCGGGACGCAGCAGGCTGGCCGGTTCTCTGTCGGGCCGCGGGTCGGGTAGTCGGCCGACCGGTCAGCTTTCCGCTGTCGGGCCACGGTTGGGCAGTTAGGAAGGTCTGGCCGGCCACTGTCGGCCCGTTCGGGCAGATCGGCCTCGGCATCTGTCCACTGTCGGGCCTCGGGTCGCTGGCCGTTAGCGTCCGCGTCGGCCACGTCGGCAGTCGGCCGGCGGTCATCGCTGTCGGGCCGCGTTTGGGCAGTCGGCCGGTCGGTCATCTGTCCGCTGTCGGGCCACGGTCGGGCAGTCGGCCAGCGGTCAGCCGTCCACTGTCGGGCCGCGTTCGGGCGGTCGGCTGACCATGGTCCCGGGGCAGGGACCTTGTGACCCGTGTGGCTCACCTGGGGTCACTGGGGTCGACCTAGTGAGGCTTGGTCAGGTTAGCTTGGGCTGGACGAGTGGGGATCACTCCATTTCTACAGCGTCCCAACTGCGCGAGCGTTGTCATTCCTGAATGTTCGCAGGTGGCTGGTCTTCATGTACTTGCCGCCAGCAACGGCATGATAGGCATCGGCTTCACATGCACGGCTGGTGAGCCGGTGCGGCATCCACAAAGGCATGTCGGCCTGACATTTTGGGTGTTGACTCGTAATACGAATCGTAATCGTAATAACAATGTGGTAATATTGATTGACGTGATCGAGTCCAAGTTGTTCAACTGTTGAACATAATATATATTTACTGTGTACAGGGTTCAACGTGCCCCGTAAGGCCAAAGGCAGCTCCATATCTCAGAATGGGTCAAGCTCTGAACGCCGCTTCAATATTTCTCCTTTTCCCAAAAAAACCTTCAGAGGTAAGCGTATGTTCCTTTCACCTCGTTGGGACTATGGTCCCTTCGGCCCCTTCGGATCTGCCGCTAGCTCTTGGCCACACACCGCGACAGTGCCGAGGCGCGCCCCCACCTGCGGGCCAGCTAAAGCGATGGCAGGGGCGGGGGAGGAGGGGGTGGGGAGGGGGGCAACCGTGCGGGTGACCCCGGCGTCCCCAGCGCGAGCCTGGACATCTGGACTGGACCGGCTAGGACAGGACGGAGCCACCTGCCGCTTTGTGCTGGCCGCCGCGCCGGCCCCCGCACCGCCTCAGGGTCACGCAAGAGGGACGCGCTGACACCCAGATGGCACAGAGATGAGCGCCAAGAGGGCACACTGATACGGATGAAGGGTAGGGATCAGACAGGGATCCACTGATACGATGAAGGGCACAGGGGCACACAGGATCCACTGATACAGATGAAGGGTACATGGTCAGACAGGGATCCACTGAGCGGATGAAGGGTACGGGAGCAGACAGGGATCCACTGATACAGATGAAGGGCACAGAAGCATACAGGGATCCGCTGATACCCTACTGTAGGGCCACAGGAGCACACAGGGATCCACTGATACAGATGAAGGGTACATGGTCAGACAGGGATCCAATTCTGATGCGGAATGAAGGTACGGGAGCATACAAGGAATCCACTGATACAGATGAAGGGCAACAGGAGCATACAGGGATCCCACTGATACAGTGAAGGGACAGGAGGGAGACAGGGACTACTGACATGAAGGTGGGCCGCTGAGAAGGGCGCGTGGTGAATAGAGTGAAACACCCTGACTTGGGGATGGAGCGCCGAGAAGGACACGGGGAGGGGCGCGCTGCTCAGAAATGGGGCACAGGGAGGGACACGGAGAGGAACGCGCTGACCCGGGCATAGAGAGGGGCACGAAAAGGGACGCACTGTCTCAGAGATGGGGCACAGAGAAGGGCACTGGCCCAGAGATGGGACACAGAGAGAAGCGCACTGCCTCAGAGATGGGCACAAAGAGGGAGACAGAATGGAACGCGCAGTTTCGAAGATGAGGTAGAGGAGGGACACACTGTCAAGAAGATTGCAGATGGAAAAGAGAGGCGAATTGGGACGAGATGAGTAAACAGACAAGGATGGATCCAGAACGGCGCCTTGCGGGGACAGCGCCGGCTTGGGGGGGGGAGGGGGAAAAAATCACAAAGCTTTCTTCATTTCGCAACTTATCGGAGTTTGCTTCCCTTTTACCTCCAGGACTGATCCTAAAACAGGTGTCTCCTAGTACCCAGCTGCTTAGATTTTGTGTCACTTTTGGCCCAGCTCGGGCCATTTGGGAGGGGAGAGGGCAGGTCCCGGTTAGTCCCCTCGGATCCGCCCCGGGACATAAAGATAAAGGGGCGCAGTTACATGAAGATAGAGCATCAGGGGGCACACGTGGAGAGAGCTTTGATTCGGGGGAACGCATAGAGAGGGGAAATAAGAAGCTCATAGAGAAGTGAGTTGGGAACTGGGAACAATGCGTTGTTCGTATTTAAGAGCAATAGCCGGTACTACATCTAAGGAAACTGGACAAAACTGGAAGATGCGTCATAACTAGGTCTAATTTTGCATATGGCAAGATAACTCCAAAAGCCCATACGATTATCCTCATCTCGCAGCTTGGCACTAGCTGTGGTCAAAAATCAAAAGATACAGCAAAAGGAAAGATAGACAAACATAAGAAAGTGCCAGCGTTTGTTCCTTGGCCTGCCGGTGATGCGATAACACTGCTCCACCACAAGCTTCCTGAGTAGATATAGGTTTGATCGCACCCTGGGATTTACAGTATCCATTGAAATCACATAACGTGCACTCCCTCTATTCTTGCGTGTGTATTGACCTGGAGTCATCACGTCTCAGTCATCAGCGCTGGAGTCTAAAACTAAAAATAAAATGGCGCGCAGCGCGTTGCTTGGCCCCACCGACCCTTGACCCCTGCCCGGCGGTCGTGCCAGACCGGCGCGGCGGCGGTCCCAATCTCTGCCGTATCGCCGTGCAGGCGTCAGCGTCGCTTCCTGCCGAGAGCTCCTGCCCGCCGGCGGCCGGGGGCCGGGCCCGGGCCGGGCCGGGGCCAGACCGGGCCCGGTCCGGGGCCGGCCTGGCGCGGGGGCGTCGGACGCGGTCGGGGCGCCGGCGCCCGTCGGGGCGCGGCCGCCCGCCGCCGCCCGCCAGGTAATTGGTTAGAAAGCAGGTGTGCGGCGGCGGCGGCGGCGCGCGGCCAGCGGCGGCCGTCGGCGCCAGTCGCTCCCGGGGCGCCCCGAGCCGCGCGGCGCTGGACCTCTGACCCCGCCCGGGCAGTGCAGCACACCCGGTGCCGCAGGTGAGTGCCCGGACCTGTTGAGGGCGCCCTAATGGACGGCCCGGGTCGATGCCGTCGGTGATTGGTCGACCGACGGCTGGCAGTCGCGCGGCCAATTGGTGCCGTAATGGATTTCGATTATTGGTGTGACGCCAGGCGCCCGCCGTCGCGCTCGGCCCTCCTGCTCGCGCCGCTGTCAGCTGGCGAGGCGGAGCGCACTGCCGTCATCGGCGACAGCTAGTCGTCTGACATCAGCCGCTACAAGCCGGCGCGCGGCCAAGGCCGAGCGACGACGGCGTTGACCGCTCAGCCCGTGCCCGTCGTCATCGGAGGGCTGTCGGCGGCGACGGCGCCTCGGGCGCTGCCGGTGCCGACTCGGCGCCCCGTCGGACTGCACGCGCGCGCTGCTTGCACCTGTGCGGACGCGCTGCGCGACCTCGCCGCGTCGCTCGCGACAGGACGCAGGTGCGGCCGCATTGTTTTCGACGCGTGTTCGGCGCGACGTCAGCACTTTCCGTCGCCGCCGCGTCGCCGCCGCGTCACGGCAATCGGCGGCGACGGCGTTTTTTGCGCGGCCGCGCGCGCAGGCGCCTGCCGCGCGCAAAACAAAAGCCGCGGCCACATGTGCCGCGACGCGATTAATTAGAGATTTGGGGCGGGTGCTGTCGCCCTCCTCGACACCTGTGCGGGCTCTATATCACGGCCGTCACCGGCTCGTCATCCCGCCGATGCCAGGCGCCTGATTCATCGGTCCGATCCGCCCCCTGGCCGCGCCGCGAGCCCGCAGGCGCTGACGGCGGCGAACGTGGCGCGCGGCGGCGCGAAGCGACGCAGGCTGCGCCGGGTAAATCATCCCCGGTGCTTATTCACGAGCACAGGCCACGCTGACGGCCCGATACCAGCCACACCTGCGCCCGAGGCGAGGTGTCGGTGCAGCGGCCATGTATCTGGCCACGGATCCGGGCCGCACGACGGGCGCATCCCAGCGCCGGCCGTATCGCAGACTTCCGGTGTCGTTTAAAAAAACCCGGCGTGTTTGAAGTGGAACGGGACCGACGATGGGATGAAACTATAAACTAAACAGAGCTCGCCTTTCGAAGTCGCGCTCGACGCTTTCGTACCCATTCACATTATGCCTCTTCGTGTGGTCGAAGGCACGTCGCTGACCTGTCATGTTTTCGATTGAATGCATCGGCATTTTTTGCCCGGTTAATGTGACTTCTGCTAGTTATCCTGTCGTCCATACGCCGTCTAGTTAAGTCCGTTGATACCGCTAGATTTTCTTCCGTGTTCAACAAGTCGTCGACTGTACGTATCAGTAGCATTGTTAGCCACCTCCGTACCGCTTCTGTGTCGTGACTCGGGCAGCGTGCATCGGTGTTATAGCTGGGCCCGAGACGTAGAATCGTTTGCAGTTAAAGAGTCTCGAGGCAATTTGTTATCGACGTAGTCCACCGATACAGAAGGTCTGATTATGTAAGCATTTGATCTAATGTTTAGGGCAAAGAGGTCCTTTCATAGGCGGATCCTGGGGGGCGGGGGGCGGGGGGCCACAGGGCCATGACCCCTCAAAAAACTTTTAAAGTATGTTTGCCCCCTCCCCCAAAAAAAAACATTCCCAGGAACTTGATAAAGGTTTCGTCTACTTACCTCAAAAGATGTGCCTCACAATAATAGCCAAAATAATAGGAAATACATAATAGCAAAACAATACCTCAAAATGAGGGATACGAGGTTTGTAAACATGCATACTCTATATAGAAGATTAAAAGCATTTCGGTGCTTGAATGGTGTCCCTACTAGGTACTCGCGAGAGGCACCATGCACTGCACCAGCCAGCTGGCGACGAACGGTTGCCCCCCCCCCCAAAAAAAAACAACAACTCCGAGCTAGATCCGCCCCTGGGTCCTTTGCGCTTATCTTTGGTATTATAGCTCAAAGTTTACGTTTATTTTATAGCTCAGGAAACAGCACAGCGTGTAAACAAATCATACTAGTTCTTATGTTTGCGGGAAATCCTTTTTCGATGGCTGGAGGAAAATAAATGTCGGGAAATCATAGAAAAAGTCATAGTTACGAAACCATTTAGGGCAAAACCGGCCATAACATCGGGAAAAGAGTTCCGTTGCTAAACAAACTGCAAATTATCCGAGATTCCTGTCATTTGTAGTGGTATGCTAGTCTGTCTGGCTCCGTGTTGGCAATCCTTTCTATTTCCAGTGGAAATCTGTCGTGTTGCCAACGTTACAGAGGTCTCAGAAACAGCAAAGTAATTATCAGAACCTGAAAACAGTCATTGGAAGCTGGTGTGGTGTTCCGGCTGGTCCCCTTGCATGACCCACGCTTCAGAGCTCGCGTTCCCCATTTAGCTCACGCTCACGGAGGTAGCCGGTATCAAGCGGCTCCTAAATTTTGAAGTTAGTTGAGGCTTGCATCGCCTGAGGTAGACGAAGCGCGAGTCTTATGTGTAGCGTGTGCCACATTCGTGCGAGGTCGGGGCAGTTGGCCAGCACCGCAGTTCGCCCCTCCCCATCCCTTGTCGTTGCCGAGCGTTTAAAAAGCACTGCATAAATGAGGGCACTTCAAATGCCTACCAATCATGTTTTCCCAAGTTTTTCCCGTTTTTCGCTCTCATTTTCACACGCATCGCTTACTACCAAAATGTTGTGGGAACATTGTTTGACATTGGTTGTGATCCTGTTGAAAGCCACAAAATTTGTTTTTCTAAAATACAAATAGGTCGTTAAAAAAGTTGTGACTTCCTCGCAGCATGCTCCCAAAAGCAAGACAACGTTATACGCCGTAAGCTGAACTGACTCACTCACAACCTCAACGTGATGTCTTTTTGTGGAAAAAGCAAAGACGATTGCAAAAAAAAAAAAAATTAGAGGCAAGTAATAGACCAGAACACTCCAATAGCCTAGGCAATCTGTGATTTTCAAAATGCACTGTTATATTCAATCCATGGTAGCGGTGACTCCGAACCATAGATTGCTGAGGGTGATAATGATTGCAATGCATATATTTTCAACTTTGATTAGTTAAGTGACAAGAATTGCTCACTGCATTTGTAAATGTTCTGGCAGGAACACAGCAAGCTTCCATAAGTTTGAAACATTGCAACTGAGGTATCCGGCAATTGAAATGAGGAGTCACTGTTTCGAAGCGTGATCAAAGTTTGTTAGCCTGTATTAGGCATCAAAACATCCAGTTTTCACGAAAATTGCTAAAGGAAACCGTGTGTACTTCAAAAGAATATTCTTATTTATCGACCCAAGTAAATTCCATTCGGTGAAAATGCAGACATACGCACCAGACCAAACTGTGGCTCATGCACGCCCAGAACATTGTGCGCACCAGACCAAACTGTGGCTTATGCACGCCCAGAACATTGCGCGCACCAGACCAAACTGTGGCTTATGCACGCCCAGAACATTGCGCGCACCAGACCCAACTGTGGCTTATGCACGCCCAGAACATTGCGTGGTTAGCGGCAAACAGGCACGCAAACAGGTCAGCATGTTGAGCTAAGGCAGACAAGCTCGGTAAGTTGGCAGACCGGCACTTTGGTGGCATTCTGACCAACAGAGGGTCGGGCCAACTTGAGGTGGCCGTGTCATTGCTTCGCATGACAGGAAAACGTTTCTCCGATGCACCATTTAGCAACCGACCGATAAACAGAGACCTTCCGCTGAACTCAAATGGAATAACTGATGTGGCGGGATCAATACAATCACGATAGTCTATGGCTTGTAAAGGCTGTGATCCCAAGGGCACTGCCACGAACCGGTTGATGAAATGCCTTTGGGAACAACTAGGAGAGCTCTGAGCATTACAAAAGTAGGACTTATGCTCCACTGTACACAATATGCCTTCTATTGTTTCACATTTGTCATCAACAACTGATTATCAATGCCTATGCATTATACAATGGGAATTCGGCTATGACTACTCCTGTCAGCCATTTGGCACCAGAAGAATGCCAGGACGTTAATGGTCATAAGTCCTAGTTGAAATGCTATGAGATGTTTTGGTTATCGTAGTTACACTCAAAGTTGTCATTAATGCGGTTCCAAATAACAAATATAACTCGATTCATAACATTCTGGCACTTATACGCCACTTGATAACATAGAAAATGTTTGAGAGTTCAACAAACCGTTACAAGCAACGCTACGACTTAACAGATAACTTTTTCTTTGACACGGCACATTCCCGCGTTTGGCTGCCCCCCCGCACCAATCGCGCTCGGCGCTGACATGGCTAGCGGTGACGGGGCTCAGTGCCGAAGCCATGTCGGTTAGACTCACTGGCAGCCCACCGAAGCGCAGTGGGTGTCAACTGACTGCTGTAAATGGGGTTAGTACAGCTGTGGTGGGCCTGGTGCCGCATGGAGCCCCCCCCCCCCCCCCCCCCCCCCCCCCCACTGTGAGCAAGTGTTCATCGAATCTGCACACAACACCTGAGGGCAATGCATGTTGAGGGCTGAAGCATCACTGTTCATTTTGGAAATTCAGGCAAGCAATGAGACGGAATCTCTGTTACGGGACCCTAGGCTAACGCGAATGTTCACAAATGGCCTGTATCCGTAACGTGGATCGCCATCTTACTGAGAGTTCATTGGGCGCCCACAGCATGTACACCAGCATTCACGTGTGTGTGACTTTGGCTTGTAAAGACGCAGTACCATTAACGAAAGCCAATCGTGGTCGGGCCGCGACCATGCTCGCTCAGCGGCGGCTGCGTCCCAGACGACCGAGCCGTCCTGTCCTCCAGCCCTCCGCCCCTCTCCCGCCAGGCGCCCTCAGTGGAGCCACCCTGTCCTCCAGCCCCTCCGCCCCTCCCCCGCCAGGCCTCCTCGGTGGAGTCACCCTGTCCTCCAGCCCCTCCGCCCCTCGCCCGCCAGGCCTCCTCGGTGGGGCCAACCTGTCCTCCAGCCCCTCCGCCCCTCTCTCGCCAGATCCTCTTGGTTGAGCCGCCCGGGGCTCCAGCCGCTCCGCCCCTCTCCCGCCAGGTCCCCT